TTCCATACCGAACTCCAATCTTTCGTTCAAGTGCTTACAGTGAAGCATTCCGCACAAAAGATTTCTAAAACCCAGGAAAGAGACGTTCCTCCTTTATTACAGTACACATATCCCTGCAACCCGGCCGGGGTGAAATGAAAGAAGAATCATCTCTGTCTTACTCTCCGGTACACTTGACGTAGCTCGATTCGATCCGGTTGTAGCCGCAATTCCCGTGCTTCGTCCCTTTCGTGTTCATCTCGTAGCACTGCGCGTCGGACGAGGTCCCCGTGGGACCCCAGAGCAGTTTGCACTGATCGTTGTGGGTCCTGCACGAGCCCTGATAGCAAAACGCTTTTCCCATGCTGCACGACTCACCGTCCATTTTGAACACGTCCACCGGGCAATACTCGCTCTGCCCGGTGCAATACTCGGGCAAGTCGCACTCGTGCTCGGCGCTTCTGCACTCGGTGCCCGCGGTTTTCGGCCGGCACGTTTTCAGATCGCAGCACTCGCCCGTCGCGCAGCTCGCGTTGCTGTGCAACATGCAAGTGGTCACGTTGCAGCACGGGTTGTCGCAGTTCTCCTTCAGGCCGCAGTCGCACTGCTCCCCGGGTTCCACGAACCCGTTGCCGCAGATCGGGCTGTCGAACAATTTCTGCGGCTTGTTCCTCAAACAGTAATCCATCCCGTGCTCGAACGCGAGCGCCAGATGCTCGAGGGAGCAGGTCGACCAGTGGGTCGGCCCCGACGAGCCGCTCGACGATGCCATGATGCATCTGCAATCAGACGCGATCGAGCGTGTTTAGACCCTCTTAAAAGGCGAAAGGTGATCGCGATGACAGTGGCCTGCGGATCATCGATGGCCTCGTTTCGATGATCGTCGCTGGATAACGACGAGGAATGGGGTTCGAAGAATTGGATAAATGGAAAATAAAGGGAATTATGCCATCGCTATTAGTATTATTACTCACTTCTCCTCGGGGCAGTCGCAATCGGCCGAGTCGTGTTCCATCCCGAAATTGTGACCCATTTCGTGGGCGACAGTTGCAGCCACTAATCCAACGACGTTCGAGTGATCCATCGAGACGCCACCCGAGAACTCGTAGGTGCATATTGGTCCCTTGAGCGCCTTCCCTACCACGCCACCTTCGAAAGTGATTCGCCTGAAAATACGAAATATCTCGAAATATCCCGTCGTTTCTCCACCGATATTTTCGTTTCGTTCCTCAACTCACGTCAACAGCTGGGCGTTATCGTTCGGCATGTCTTGAACTAGTTTCTCCCTCCTGTATCGGAGGAAATTCGAGAGGGTGGTGTCCCCATTCGGGGACAGGGCTATTTCATCCGCGTCCGACCAAACTTGCACTCCGACCAGCGCGATGAATATATTCAGTGGCATGTACAACTGGAACGCGATATGTATCATTTATTTATTTACGATCTATGGATTATTAGATTATCCCAAAAAACGTGTGATATGATTTTTTATGAAACTTTCGCCATTTTACTTCTTCGTGTCTGAAGAATTATTCTATTTCATCTAAATTCAACTAAATCGATTATAATTTTTGGGACAATCTAATATCGATACGAAGATTCGTCTATGATGAAAATTGTACTAACTGCATTGATAATGTTAGCGATATCTTTGCAGTGTTGATGAACCTTGTCCAAATTCTCGTCGAGAGCGATGTATTCCTTCTTATCGATCACGAGGACCAATTCTACGTATCGTGAATGCCTGTTCGCGTTGTAGGGTCCTCGAATCGCCTCGGCCGCTCTCTTGTGCTGAAAGTACAAAAACCTCGATTTCGAATCTCCAACGAATCTTTCGAATCTCTAAATAAACTTAAAACCTTTATATATATATATATATATATATCTTACCCTTGCGATTCTGTTGACGATCCCGCGTTGTTCACGGTCGAGAACATGGTGCGGCGTTCCTTCGTAACCTGTACCGAACAAAAAACCAAGATCATCGTCGTCGATTGGATTCTCGGTAAAGTTAAGGGCGAACTGAGGAGGGAGAATCTCGCTCCCACATTCGTTAAGGCCGTTAAGGAGAGACCAGTCTCCGCGAGACAGGTCTTCGAGACCGGGAAAGGAGCGCGTGCCCTGCACGAGGATAACACACAGCTTTGGAATCGAACCGGTCTCGTCATCCGTGAGACTTCCTATCGTACTCAGGAACGATAACAACTGGGAAAAGATGGATTAGGATAGGATAGGAACGATAAGAAAGGATACGAAATGTTCTCTCTTAATTCTGTTCGTGAAAGATTTCGAGAAATTGAAATTGATGTACAAGGAAAAAAATAAAAAATAAAAAAAATAATTACCGCAAGTGTGATTGGCGACGAGATCGCTGTGCTTGTAAACGTAATGACGCGAGTCCAAAGATTCTTGCTCCGGTTGGATGTGATGAAGGTTCTCGCCGTCGAAGACAACGCCGCGCAGTCCTCTGCAAGTAGATAGGGCTACCCAGGAGCCGGGGAGGTCGCGAACGCTACCTTGATAATGGCAGAGTTCCTGTGAATTTCAATGGGACATTGATTCGGTTAGTTTCGCCCATCTGGGATCGCGGACTCGTCGGTCGAGTTCTTAAATTGGCACCAAGAGTCAACTCGAAACTTTCGGCCACCGTTTTCAATGGACCGACGCGATAAAAAAGATCCTCGATGCAAATGCGAATGTATTACGGTCTCCAGCCAAGTTCCGTTCCGAGAAACAGTGCGGAAAAGGATTGAAATGAGAGAGAGAGAGAGAGAGAGAGAGAGAGAGAGAGAGAGAGAGAGAGAGAGAGAGAG